GGCGTGGCATTCACTGCCATGGAGAAATGCTGCATAGCCATTGGCCAATACTGCAATGGAAGACCTGACTGCACAAGGTTTGTGCGTGTGCCTTCAAGCATGTGTCTGATCTCCCTCTCCACAAACGACTTTGAGCTGTCCACATACTCTGTTGATGTTTGATGTCTGTACCCCAACTCTGAAATTGTAGCAATAAGTTCTCGTGAATTGTCAGTGTAAACTGCCCCAACTTCATCCTTGTGGGATAAGAAGTGGTTGAACGCATTAACACATGATTCGCTAGATTTTGTCTGGCTTGGATAGACGTGTCTGAACTGTGTGTGGATGTCCTTCATCACCAATGCCACTGTTTCACCTTTGACGCCTTCTTCCACATTGGATTTGATTACAGTATGGTCAGCGACAATGTGATCCCCAAAACTTTTAGTTTCCAACCTTTTCTGTCCCCCTTTCTTCTTTGCGGGTGGCGCCATCATGCGTGCCTTTTGACAGATTTTGCAAAATGGATTCTTGGGGTAATGGCAAAACTGGTGAGACTTACTGCATGCCTCTTGCTCAAGGTCAGATGCCTTTCTAGACCTGATGTATTCGGTTTCACTATCATGAGCTACTCCCTCATCCACACCTTCTTCATCGGCACCTTCTGCTTTCGCAGCAACCATTGCAAAAAGACGTAACAGATCACAATCTTTCTTGAACTGTCCACTGTTCAAAACACGACAAGAGCTATCGATGACCGGCACACGGCCGTCTACGTTAAGCTCAATGACTCCCATGTCCGGACGAATGAAGTAAGGCCTACCATCAGCTGGCCACACAAAACTGTAACCCTGTTCCATACACCTGACCCCAACCGAAAGAACAGCAGGAGTTTCCTCAAGAATGTATGGTGAGAATGGCTGATGTAGGGCATCGACTTTTACGTCGGCCACCTCATCCGCTCGTGTCGAACCGTTTGCTGTAGCAAGGCTGATCGGAGTGTCGCTGATACGGCGGTTTGTCGCCTTTGCAGTCTTCAGCATACCCTCACTGATCAAATCCTGTTCACTGCCCGTGTCAACCAACCAAACACATCCATCTTTTGATGCAGGTGTAGCAACAGTGGGCAAATGAGTATTACTGACTTTGTTCTTGGGACCGATCATTGCTCTACAATGGTTGCATGATACTCCCCCTTCTGGGTCATTGCATCGGAATCGGCACTTGGGCTGCGTTTCACTGCCGAAGAGCTTCACAAGTTCCTGCAACTGTCGGGCCGAAACCTGAGCACGGTGAGCCACGAGTTTGTCGGGTTTTGGCACTGACTCTGAATCAGGGAACGTCTTCTCATAGATTCGGGGTTTGTGCACTACCTTCCTCTGTTCACCTGTTGCTGGGACTTTGATGTATTCCACTTTTGATGAAAACACAACGGCTCTATGGCATTGTTCTTTCATGGCCTTTGTGGCTTTTGGCAACCCTTTTCCCTTTGCTATGCATGCATACCTTTGGGTAATGCATGGCGCAGCTTTTGCGCTGGCCTTCTTCTTTGGTGCAGGGCTATTGGTGCGTTTTGGATCCTTTGTGGGTGCAGCTGCAACTTCATGTTTGTAAAAACATTTGTCACCACGACGACATTTGCCCTGTTGGAAGTAAGTGCATGGGATCTTGGCCATCTCTTCCTTCGACTTTCTGTTGGGGGAACCACTTCTGCTACCACCTTTGCCCTTACCCTTTCTTTTGGGGGTACCAGATCTTGAGGAATCTTTGACATGCTTGTAGGGACAGTCTTTACCCTTTTCACATTTGCCATCCCTGAATTTGTAGCATATTTTGTCCCCTTTTCCACTCTGGCTACGGCCACGGGTTCGACCTCGGTCGCCCTTTCCTTTGCCGCGATCTTTGCCCCCCTGAGCGGGTGCAGCGGGCTGAGGCTTTTCGGTCTGCTTGTTCTTTTCAACGATTCTGTTTCTGTTTGAACGGAGTCTTTCTCTATCCAAAAGGTCACGAATGTTTCTCAACAAGAATGCATAAGACTTTTGTTCTGACTTTTCAGGAGCTCTGTCAAATGCTTCAATGTCATACTTCATCAATTGACATTTTCGGATTTGTCTAAGTAAGATGTCTCTGAGAACCAAATCATCTGGTGGGGTTTCCATGCCGGCAATTGTGGCGTCCCATCGGTTAAGAAACCTTCTAAGGTCCTCCACAGATTCTCCAGTGCGAACGACTCCAAGTAGGTCCTCGACGCGGTAGAGACTGCCAGCTTCCTCAGACGTCCTGAAGTAATCTTCAAACATCAAAAGGACTCTCCTACCTCTGACTTGGATCCCATTCTTCGACTTCTCATCTTTGAAGTTATGGATCTTCGTTGCTAAGTCACCTTTGGCTGAGCGAGTTAACGCTGCCGACAATTTGGTGTCAAGTGTGATGAACTTCCCAGGTTCCTGTAGCTTTTCCTCCAACTTTTCCCTAGGGGTTTTGTTGTCAAAGACTTCATTGAGCCAAAGCCAAGCCTCATCGGGTTTGTCGGAGCATGATTTCACTTCATCCCTGACATGATTACGCCAGTGACGATAAGCTTCTGGGGCAGGCATGTCATTCAGTTTGATAGTCTCTGCCTCTTTTGTTCGTGGCTTTTCACCATCTGAATCCTTTGAAGTCAGTCTAGTGATGAGATCTAGCAATTGTTGACCTGAAAGACCTAAGCCTGCTTCAGCTGCTTTCTTGCCAGGGTCGCTTGCTATGACTGTAGGACTGGGCACACTATGATCTTGGTTTGCATCATCACCATTTTGTCTTTGAACTGGCAATGGTGGAAGTTTTGGAGGGGCTGCTGATCCGGCAGGGGTTGTTGAGAACAGGTTGCTCAACCTTTCTTTAGCGTCAATGGCTAAGCTACTCATACCAGTGTTTGGCATGGGTTCTGCTCCAGCCTTGGTACCGACCGCTGATTTTGGGGTCATGTACAGATCGACATTATTACCGCCTTGTGTATCATCAACTTCGACGGCTCTGTCGACACTGATTTCCGGGGCGCTGTACTTATTGAGCTTCTCCATTAAATCCTCGACTTGTCCCTGCAATTGGAAATTGAGTTCAGCAGCTTGGTTTTCCTGCCTACTGCATTCCTCTCTAATCTCCTGAATTACAGCTTGTTCCTCCTTCTTGAAACCTTCCATGCCGTTCTTTGCATACTCCACTGTTTCGTCCACGATTCGTTTACAGTCTGCCTCGAGGCTACCTCTGAGTTCAGAAAACCTTTGTTCGTACTGGGCTGTAATATGGGCTACCTTTTGGTTGGCTCTTTGTTCAGCTTCCAGTGCAACCGCATTTGCAGCGTTCTTTAGCTTTGCGTTTGCATCGCTAAGTTCCTGTCTCAGTTTTGCTACCTCATGCTCAGCTGCCGTTTGGGACACTGAATACTCTGACACTAGGTGTTCATGTCTGCGATCCGCTTCTGCACGTTGATGGGAAATTTCGCTAAGGCAAACTCCCTCAAACTCTTGGTACAGTTGCTGGACCTTTTGCTCCATGAGATGTGTGTGCCTCTCCTCCGCCTCTTGCCTGAAAGCATCAATGTTACCTTCGTTGATGTAGGTAAGATTGTTTTGCACGAACTGGAAATATGCTTGCACGGGCTGTGTGAAGAAACCTTCATCCACTGACATGGGCGTGGGGTTTGTCCCAGCCGGCAAGCTTTGTTGTGAACCAGTTGTTGCAACCGCTGCTCCAGACGAGGGGACAAGGGCGCCTCCACCTGAGGTGTCTCCAGTTGTCCTTTCCATGGCTTTAAGAGACTACGGCTGATAACCTGTATTTTCAGGTTTCAGCTGGGTTATGACTATAATCCCAAATAGACTGATAAACCTAAAGGTGGGGAAAGAAAATAACCGTTAAGCGCAGCAACTCAACCCTTTTTAGCCTGAGCCGCATAGCTGTCATGTATAGCTAGTTTACATAGGGTTTATGGTGGAGTGCAAATACAGATTTTAGAGGACTCCACCGGTTCAAACGGAGAGATCTGAAGTTTCCATGACATTTTCCCAGAAGGGAATGGGGTGTTGGAAAACGGCAGAACGCAGTCGACGCAGTCGTTGCGCCGGGCCCGGGGCCACCTTCTTCAGGATGACATCCTGAGGAACAGCCTTACGGTCGTGTCCAGTTTAGAGTCATCAGAGTCACCTTTGAGATCTGGAGATCTGGAACGGATTCCATCGAAACGGGCGTGTTAGAGTCACGGTACCAATCGTCCTAAATCCTAGCTACTCAACATGCACACACACATTCAATCGACTTGTAGTGCAACAAAATTCAGCTCTCCAAGAGAATATAAGTTAAATATCTTCAATAGACACAAGAAGAATGAAACTGACAAAGATTCTGTAAACAGCTGACCTTGCTTCAGCTACGCAAGGCGAGCCTTCGCCTTGGGTACTGGAGCCTGTGGCACCTGTCTGAAGTTATTTGGACATGTTTCTTTTGAGATCTTCCGATGTTCTGAATCGAAGCAGTAATCAGATTTAATCAACCCCTCAAGAAACCATTTTACAACAAGTCCCTACGAGTCTTAGCAGCCTCAGTAACCTTAGCAAAACATGCGCTGTCTGTTTTGAACTTGGAGCGTGACAAACCTTTCAGCCCCACCTCCACTGTGGTGCTTTTGCCGCATTGGCAACCCATGGTGGTCAAGTCGCAAAAAGATTCGCGACCCTTTCTGATTGATTTACTTGAGGGTACACCTTGAAAGAAATGGGAAGTATCCCCTTATTGAATAGGACTCTCTGCTGTACACTGAACATCAATGTCTGAGCTAGTTTGATTGTTGAGACCTCAATGTAAAGTACTCTAACCAAGCTTCCTCAAACTTGGATTTCAAACCTGGATTTGTTGGCAAACATGATTGCTTGTGATGCTAATGGCAAAATCCAGACTGCCGGGTAAGAATAGGTGGAATGCTGACTGTCTGTGCTCTGCAAGGGTTGACATCGGTGCTTCTTTCCGACCCATGAAGTCTAGTGCTATGATGCCTTGCTGATGGAAAAAAATGGACAGCAGCGCACCTTTCTTGCCTCCTGAAAGGCAAACCACCATAGCTCATCTGCTACGGATTGGCCTAACAAGTGCGTGTGCCGCCAGGGTTTCCAAACGCCACCTGGCCAGTGGAGCCTAGGCTTCACAAAATGAGTGGCGAACAGATCACACAAGCCAAGTTGTTGATTTGGGCCAAGACAACACAACAAATCCTACAAGTCCAAACGAAAAGTGGCTTCTGGCACACTGTCAAAACTTGTCTACAGTTTGCGTTGGCAAGGGAAACTAGAAAGCATCTTGCATTGCCAAAGACACCTCGAACATGGTCGAACCCCAGAAAGAATGGAATGACATTTACATCGACAAGTCGTTCCTATAGGATAATTCGGAATATAGTATCAACATGTATAAATATATATAAATATAATATATTATATATATGATATGTGTAAACACAAATCCAGCGAAGCTATGCCAAGCTATGCCAAGCTGCACACGAATCCCAGGCTTTGCCACACATTCTGCTACCGCGAGTCCACTCAGGCAGAATTCAAGGACTTCATCGCTGCAAGTGTTCCTTGAGAACAAGCATGGCTATACAAGCATGGCTACAAAATGCATCCATTTTGGCCGCGCGTTTTAGTAATTTATATTATATTATATTATATTATATCATATTATATTATATTATATTATATTATAATATATTATATTATAATATATTATATTATATTATATATATTATATTATATCATATTATATTATATTTTATTATATTTTTGTTATATTATATTATATTATATTGTATCAAATTATATTATATTATATTATATTATAATATCATATAATTATATATATATATATATAATTATATAAAATTTATATACATGCCACATCGTGCCTCAAACATCAGAAGCATTCAAAAAGCTCTTCCTGCCATGTTTCAAGCCATTGAAGGACACCAGGAAGTTGTTTGAAGGATTCAGGAGGCAGACCTGAGGAAGCCAGTAGATCGAGCAAGCAAAGGTACGGGGAGCAGCACACTGGCCCCTTGTAGCATCGGCTTCTTGTGAAACAAGTATCATCTGCAAGGATCATCAAACTAGTTAGAAACCGAATTTGAAGGTTGCCCCATTAGGATAAGTTCTCTCCTACGAAAACTCAAGAGTCAAGTCGCGTTGATGTCGAGAGTCTTTGCTCCCGGCATAGTTTCCACCGGAACTTCTCGAACTTCCCGAGGCTCTTCTGGCCACAAAGGTGGGCAGACCTAGGCAGAAGTGGGCCAAATAGATCTGCCGCAGAAAACAATGCAATGGTTGCCAAATCGATTGAAGATGCAACGCTGCATTTATGTGAAATTCAGTGAAATTCACCAAGCATTCGACTTCCGAAATGGAGGCATTCTGCGGAAGTCCTGCTCTGACGCGCTGGACTGAGATGGGATTTAAGACTGAAGATAGGGCGTCCACTGCGTCCACATGAAATTCCACATGAAATTCCATGGTTTATTAGTAGACATATCATATATCAGGATTATCCCCTATAAATTCATTAAAATTCAATGGTTTATATAGAAATATCAGGATGATCCCCTATGGCCCTATAGCCTGGAAGAATCTTGCTGGGAAATCCATTCAGAAATTGGACCTTTCGAAGCAGCGGCCAAAAAAGCGGCAAGGCGATCCTGGATCCAATTTCTCTGGAATTGTACCTCCCCTGGGCTGCTTGGAGATGTAGCGGAAGAAGAGATCCACCCAAGCTTGGTCCAAGTATCCTCGCCAGCGTGCCACTGAAAATTACCGCAGATCGAGATATATATATATATATATATCCATATTTTCCTATCCAACTAGTCCAATGGAATCTACTTTGATCATCTTTGATCCAAATATCTCAAGATGCCGTTGAAAAAAACGTCTGTTGATAAAGTGTAGTTGAACTAAGTTAAGAGAAACTGAGGACAAATGAGCAAACACCAGCAGGTATTGATGCGTGTTTGCCTTGCAACCGCACTTCAGGGTGTTCGTGCAAAAGCCCCATTTCCAACGAAGTGCGCATGGCATCAAAGATCCTGCAGAAAATTGCGACTTGAAGGTGGACTGAAAGCCATGGCATCTTGCGAGAAGCTCTTCAAAATTCTTCAAAGCTGTCCTGTTCCAACTTGAATTTTGAGGGAGTCGATACAGTCAATTCTGCATATCAATTCATATGGGTGCTTCTCATAAAATTCTGCTGTCCATGGTGCCATGGCCCCATGGCCCATTGGTTTCCCCATGAAAAATCATGAAAAATGACCACTTAAGGGCCGCCTCAGATCAGGAGTGATGACCATAACGCCAGTATTCAGCCTCTGATGCCGAATCTGTTCGTGGTCCAAGCCTCAACGGAAACCAGTTGTTGGTGTTACCAAGTTGCATATGTTGCCTCACTGATCACGGAAGCTGATGGATAACTCGCTAAATTTTGATAGCCCATAGGATCCATGGTGCTGGTATATATGCTAACATTTGGGGTATATTGATGGGATCCATGTTACCATATATAGCAGCACCATGGATCCTATGGGTAGATGAACCTGGCCATCAAACTGCTTGGAGAAAAACCTGGCCATCCCCAGCTGCGGGACTGTTTTCAGATGAGGCACACAAACCAGAGGCTGCAAAGTGAACTGCTGCGGGAAGCTGAAGCAAGTGCCATAGACTTCCAGTCACCAGGATGTCAGTATCCAAGTACAGGATCCTGGAAATGCTCGACGGGCAATGCCATAATTACATACCATGAAAACCTGTCAGTTTTGCCCACGCAAGTATACACCGGACTTGCGTAAAGTTCGTATGGTGGGTTTGTTTCTCTAGTCACCAATGAGATTTCTTGTCGGTTCAGGTCTCTTCAACCTGCACTGATCAACATTCTCCGCTTGCAGCCAGCTGCTCCTATAGGACTTTGCATCATCGGAATCTCCAAATGTCATCAAATATCTGTAGTTGGGCGGTTTCTCAGCACATATGTATATATTAAACTGTGGATGGTTGCGAAATCCAGCCAGCCACCAATCCTGGATGGTTGAAACATGTTGAAACCCTATGAATAATGGGATAACCATGGATAAACCATCTATCAACGGCAGGATTTCGCCACCATCCACAGTCTGTAAAGCCATGGCATGTGCCATGATCGGCCTGCGGAACTCCACCAAGCGCCACAGGTGCAAGCGTCGCCAGCCGCCAGGAGCTTGATGTGCCATTGGGAGAAGTGGTACTTGAACGGGGACCAATCCCCTGTACCAAAAACAACGACACACTCAACTGGGGACCCCGATGGAATTATATAACATTATATAACCTATTAATGGATATTAATGGTCTATTATAATTAACTCTATTGATTTAATAGAGAGTTAATTAAACTTGTATCTTCAGATGCATTGCATCTATGGGCAGAAGGAACGTCCGGCTCTACTTGAACGTCCCAGACAGTCATATGGCATACGACTGCTCAAATTTGTTGAGGTTATCTGCAGTATCATTGGGGTTGACGTACAGTACAGTATCACCTGGGCAAATATTAATAACTTTACTCTGCTCCTCAATGGTTGTTATTTGTCTTGGGTTTTCCCATGTTTTCCCCCTCATTCGGTGGCCTTCTGACAGCAAATTGAAAGAAGCCGAGGCACCTCTCTAACCATCTGTCCTGGAAGCTTGCCAATGGCCTCTCCTTTCAATCGCTGCAGCATGGCAGAGAGGGGGAGAGAGATCAAAAACAGTTCAATGGGTTTGACTGAAAATAATTAGGTGCCCTAAATCCACTCCTTAATCATTGAGTATCCCTAATAGTATCAAAATTATATATCTAACAGATACTCCCAAATTCTGAGCCAGATCCTTTGAGCCAAGAATCTGATGGGCAAAGAACAAGCAGTGGCACCTCAGTGTGCAATCCGTCATCGTACGGGACAAAATTGAAAACAAAATAAAATCAGGTTTAAAGCCACAGTGCTGGTTTCTGAGTCTATAACTCATCCCGCGACAAATATAATAAACATATAAGTATAGTTATATAGGTTCAACGACGACAGCAACACCGACCACAGCCAGTCAGCACGATCAAAACTCAATGCTCCTTAAAATTCCAAGTCCAGCTCTTGGACAAATCACACATCCAATGTCCCTTTCTCCAAAAAAAACAACATGAACTGCCAAGGCACTGCAAGCCTCTTGTTTCCAGTGGCTGAATGAAATTGAAGCAAACTCCAGGACATCACGTCCAGTGCCTGACAGGTGGAGAGGATTCATCGGATGCGTTGCTGCTTAGTTTCGGCTAGCTTAGGCTTATTGAACATTGAAGGGTTTCAACAGTTTCCTAGTCTGAACCATTCGATTCAAAACCCGTCAAATTTACACAAAAAATCACACAGACATATCCGCACAGTATCAAATAAAGTCAAGTCATATAGTCCCACATTGGGATACATTGGGTTGCATCCTCATCGAAAGTATCTGGATCGACTCATGCCTGATCTCTTCATCTGTGCTGCAGGCTAAACACAGTCACACCCGCTAATTCCACCGTCGGACAGTCTACGCATTGTTTCCCAAGAAAAGTGGAGAAATCAAACCTCTCCCAACAAAAATTCGTGCCCTGCTCACCATCCCCAATTCATCGAGTTTAGATGAGTTTAGTCACCTGACTCCAATGATCAAATTCCTCGTGCGACTCTTCCAGTAGTGTTGCAAATGCCAAGCCCTCCAGTGTAGCTTCCTTGGGCATTGCTGTGGTGCCCGGGGTCAAAAGCCTCAGTCTTTTCGAAGTCTGACCTTTTCCTGGCATGGTGAGGCTTTGTCACAGGAATCAAGGCAAAGTACGTTCTATACCAGTAGTGCCGCACAAGGCAGTGGCGGAATAGGAAACCTATAGGAGAGGTTGATTGTTGTGAATCACGGACGGATGGCAGAGCGAATCCACTGATGGACTGACAGGTGGTTGGAGTTTTGTCTTTTGGAATGGCTGCAATGGTTGCAGTGGTCACCTGGTCGGTCACCTCACCCACAATTGCTGGGTGTAGTGTGGTGTAGTGCAGCTGTAGTGTACTCAATGCAGTGTAGTTGCAGTTGCATGTGTGGTGGTTTAATGAATGCAGTGTAGTGTGATGTAACGTAGTGTAGTGTAGTGTAGTGAAGCATAGCATAGTTGTAGTTGTAGCTGTAGTTGTAGTTAGTGTCGTGCAGTGCAGTGCAGTGCAGTGCAGTGCAGTGCAGTGTGGCGTTGGGTAGTGTAGTGTAGTGTAGCGTAGTGCTATGTAGTGTAGTTGTAGCAGTAGTTGTAGCTGTAGTGTAGTGTAATTGAGTGTAGTGGAGTGTAGTGTAGTAGTGTGTAGTGTAGTGTAATAAGTGTAGTTGTAGTTGCAGTTGCAGTTGTAGTGTAATTGAGTGTAGTCTAGTGTAGTGTAGTGAAGTGGAGTGACTGTAGAGTAGTGTAATTAGTGTAGTGTAGTGTAGTGAACGTAGTGTAGTGGTAGTTGTAGTTGTAGTTGTAGTGTAGTTGTGGCTGTGGCTGTAGCGTAGTAGGGTAGTGTAGTTGAGTGTAGTGGAGTGTAGTGCAGTGCAGTGTAGTGTAGTGTAGTGTGATGTAGTGTAGTGTAGCGTGATGTAGTGCAGTTGTAGTTGCAGTTGCAGTTGCAGTCGTAGTTGTAGTGTAGCGTAATGTAATTGAGTGTAGTGTAGTGAAGTGAAGCGGAGTAAAGTGGAGTGTAGTGTATTGTAGTGTAATTAGCGTAGTGTAGTGTAGTGTAGTGTAATGTAGTTGTAGTTGCAGTTGTAGTTGTAATTCAAGTTGTAGTTTTAGTTGTAGTTGGTGTAGTGCAGTGTAGTGTAATGTAGTGTATAGTGTAAAGTGTATTGTGTATTGTGTATTGCGTAGAGTGTAGAGTGTAGTGTCTGTAGTGTCTGTAGTGTCTGTAGTGTCTGTAGTGTAATGCAAGTAGTGTAATACAAGTAGTGTAAGACAAGTAGTGTAAGACAAGTAGTGTAAGACAAGTAGTGCAGCGTAGTGTAATGTAATGTAATGTAGTTGCAGTTCCAGTTGTAGTTGTCGTAGTAGTGTAGTGTAGTGGAGTGGAGTGCAACGTAATGTAGTGTAGTGGTCGTAGTTGAAACTCGTACAAACTTCACGTTTCGCTCACTTTTGACAAAGTGCATAATCCCTTGCGCCTGCCACGCACAACGACATCTGCACGTCCAAAAGTGCTCCAAACCCGTCAGTTTTTTGCACTTTTGACTTCGACATGTGCTTCGCGCCACAATGGCGTGCACTTTTTCGACGTCTCAACTTCTAAAGGTGCTCCGAAGCTGAAGTGTTTTGTGTACATTTTGGCTTCGAAATGCGCTTCGCGCCACAACGGCGTGCACTTTTTCGACATCTCAGCTTCCAAAAGTGCTCCGAACCTGCTGTGTTTTTATGTTGACTTCGAAATGTGCTTCGCGCCACAACGGCGTGCAATTTTTTCATCTCTCATCTGACCAGATGTCTCCGCACCCGCCGCTTTAGTGAGCCTACTTTTCGACCCTCCGGAGCCACAAATCATTGGAAAAACACAGTGACTCGCGACTTTTCTACCTTTTCGCGCACCTGCATCTTCTTTCTTCTGACTCTTTCTCTTCTCTGATCTTCTCTCTTCTTCTCTTGTCTTCTCTGACTCTTCCCACCTCTGCTTTTCCATCTGTCCATATTGTCGGAAGTTTGACTTCTAAACTTCCTTCGATTAATCTATAGTTATCTTTCATTTCTGTTTGCCAGGATTAGAGCCAAACAGTAGGACCTTCACTGCAAGTCTATCCATACTGCAAATCGTAACTTTTAGATTCTCTAGACTCATCCTCTTGGTAATCAAAGCACATGGCTCTTCAGCGTCTGTCTCAAACAATCTTTTAGTAGAATCCTTTAGATAAATTCCTGGGAGATTAGCAAAAGATGCCAGGCTGTCTCCGGCCAAGGGGCTGCTGTTCAAAGCTTTGACGCCATGCCAGGGCGCTGCCAGCACCCATGTGTCCCAGCCATTCATTTACGAAGATGCTGGGGATCAGAAAATCCAAATGCCACAAGGAGCTGTGTAAACTTCTATCAACCTCAGTAGTCCAGTGCTACAGCAGTTACAGCAACCCGGCAACTCACTCTTTTCGAGGATTTTGGAGTTAGGCTTGTGAGATCTTGCTCTTTGGAAGATTTCTTGACAAGCACGGCTGAGAATAGTTCCTGTAAACAAATTGCTGTAAACAAATTGGACCCGGAATTCAAATGGAATCTCTCGTTGGTTATATGCTGCTGCAAGGCCTTGACCTAAGACTCATTCAATCTCATTCATAATCATCAGAAAGCGAGAGGAAGCAATATATATATATATATATCATTATATCATATAATCATGATTCCTAAATTGGTGCGCTCTTCGCGGTGAAGAGCAAGTATTTTTGAAAACAACAAGCAGCCGGCACTGGCTTGCATGAAATGTCAAGTAGACAAGTAGTCATCAACATTTTGGCCTTTCAAGCAATGTGCACATAAATCACATAATAAATCCAAAGTAAAAACATGTCACTCATTCAGCAATTGAGAAGCTGACAAGGAGGTCCCTGTAGCCTCTCCAGTTTGCAGGCGTGTTGGTAGATTGAGCAGTGCTTGTTGTGCTCGGTGCAACGAACCAGCCGTACAGCCGTGGCTGATGGCCAGCAAGGAACTCTTCCGAAACCAAGTCCTTGATGCCTTAGACAAACGATCGCACGGTCAGCTTTCCAAGCGTCGTTTGGCGCCAAAGGTTTCACAGAAACTAAGATCATGAATGTCATGACCTGCTCTGCGCCTTGTAAGCATTCCAAAGGCAAAATATGTTCGTACAACACCACCCTTGTGCGCACCATGTCACTTCCGCAAAGTGTGTGACTTGCACTCCGAATAAAAAGGTTGGACATGGTCAAATATGTCAAATCAAAGAAAACTTTAAATTTCATCCAGCTGCAGCCTTTGCCACTGGTCTCATTGCTTCACAACTGCAGGACCATCTGTTCGGCCAGGCCTCTTGGGCCCAGCATCTGCCGATGGTCTTAGACATTCGGCCTGCCCTGCGATGCAGTTCCCGGCTCTCGGGCGTGGGCCCTGGGAATCTTCGCAGTGGGAATCTTCGCAGCAGCTGGAAGATGGGCCAGCCAGACAGGAGGACTTGTAGAGTGGGAACCTGAAATTGCCCCAAGGACTTGGCCAAATATCTGCGGAGGGCTAGCAACAAAGGTTTCCTGCTCGTACTTGATGCTTCTGGTGGCCAAAAGCCATGGAATCCATGGACGGCAGCAAGAAATGCAGCGACCATGGTGGAAATGCTGCCGAGCCAGCATTCTTCATTCATCTCCTGCCAGGTCCTCCACAAAATAAAAAAAAAACAGCTACAGTCAAGCGTTCCACTGGTAAGCTTTCTAGAAGTGGCGGTTGTCGTTTTCACTATACTTGTGCCAAGCCCTGTTGTTCTGGCTTTACAAATTGCAAGACTTCGAATATCCACAGAGTTTGAACAGGAATAACGGAATAACCAACAAAAGAAACACAGAAAAACATGATATTCTGTGACTATACAATACACTTACACACTATGTTACACTACTGTACGGATCTGCACGGTATATGAATCAGCATGGCATATATAGATCTTGTTCCAAAACTTCGGGCATTGGTGGCACTTGGGCTCCTTAGCTTGACTTGGCCGGACGTCGCTCCCCGTGGCAATGGAGCTGGGCAAAGTTCCGGTCTCCCCAGCATGGAGCACAGCTCCTGCAGTGCCTGAAACAACGCCCATGTGTCCATACTTCAAATATCTTCAAATGAATCAATTTACCGTAGAGAGAAGATGAAAAACGTCACGCCTTGGTCCAATGTTGAATGCAGGATATCTGATGATATCTGGATATCAGCTGAGAAGCTCGACGTTCCAGACTCATGCCAACAGCATGGCGATCAGACTGCAGTGGCTGGACAAAGTCCAAAATGCCGCAAGGAGCTGACCTTGGTTTCATGGTTGTGCATCGACGATCAACCATATCAGAACCGAATCAGGCCCTAAATCCACTCAAGCAAAATAAAGCAATTTGCTGACCAGTTACACATCCGACTGCAAGCATCGGTGCATTGCATGTTTGATGCGTCCCCAAGACACCTGCACTGGACAATGGTCAACCGGTCAACAATCATTTATTTCCGATTTTTCCACGATAAAATATTAAAGCAAACTGTTGTGGGTGGTTTTATCACAACATTGGTACCCTCTGGTTAAACTAACATAACTATGGAAAATCACCATGTTTAATGGGAAAACTCACTATAAATGGCCATGTTCAATAGCTGTGTTGGTTTACCAGAGGGTATTTTGAACCCCTGTTCAAAGCATTGTTGAACCCTTACAGCGGGCCCAGGTGAAGCTACAGCGAAAAAATGGGGCCCATCCTTGGATCTCTGACCCACGGCTTCGCAACCCAAGCGCAGATTCCGCCAGCCGCTGGCCCATGACCTGACCCAACAAACGAGGCTTGTCTTGTCAACAAATCACATCATGAGTATCATACATGTATCATACATTTAGTATCAGGAGTCAGCACGTTTGACAATTCGAAGTCTTCACAACATACAAGCACTACTGCTACTGCATTGTTTAAGTAGTTTCAAGTATGCATCTTCAAAAGCCTGAAATGACAAGGTGGAGAAATGTTAGTGGATGGAAGCGATGGAGGCACAGGCGGAGCAGGCACCCATGGCGAAACCATCTGGCAGTTGTGTGATTTCTTCAAACTGGTTTGAGCCACGTTGTTTTCATCCGCGGTGAGGATTCTCCAGACTTCTAGTAGTTCAGCCTTTCGTAAATTTCAAAGGGATAACTTGGGAACAATTTTTGCCACCGGCAGCAAACATGCAAACACAGAAACTGCCACTTCCATTTAACTGAAGTAAATATACATTGATCAAGACTCTAGATATTAAATGCGTGAAACAGTGAATGCATTGAATGCACTGCCGGAAGAAAACACAACGTCCTTTGGGTGTTGCCAGATGTTTTGCACTCTGAATCGATGCGGCAGGTGGACTTTGCGGAGTGCTGCAGAATTGGTTTGCCTCGTGCGAGCACAATTCATCGCGACTAGCAAAATCAGGGTCGATACCACATTTATGCAATGACAAAAGACAAGACAAAGCACACATCCCTCACCGTAGATGCTGCTCCGGTAAAACAAAGTAGAGAATAGCAAATAGTATGTCTGGAGGTGGAACCTAATCGCATTGACGTTTGACCCAAGTTTGACATCAATAATAGGTCAATGGGGTTTTCTCTTCCTGTTCAAACATGACATCATAATATGTTGCAAGCCATGTGGCAAATATCGTGAAGGTGTATTTTGACGTCCTGAGCGGCCAAACAGACATCTAATTTCCACAGCGCCAACATACATCACGGTTGTGAAACTCATCCGAGAGTACAAAACAACACGGATTGACACGATGTTCCCGATACCTATACGTTACACCAAAGCACAATATGGTCAATGCTCCGTCCTGATTTCCTTGTACCCCCCGCTCCCCCCCTCAAACGAATGCCTGGACCATGAGAGGGTCCAGTTCACTTTAGTAAGTTTGTTGCCCATAGGTTTGGAATTGGAGTATAATTTTTCCGAACGTGATCCTGGAACCAAGACAAGAAATGGAACCCATTTACAAAAGCAAACTGTTCTTTTTCTTTGTTTTTTTCTTTCTTTTTCTTTTTCCTTTTTTTCCTTTTTTCCTTTTTTCTTTTTTTTTCTGTTTCCTTTTTTTCTTTCTCTTTCTCTTCCTCATCCTCCTCTTCCTCTTCCTCTTCCTCTTCCTCTTCCTCTCTCTCTCTCTCTTTCTCTCTTTCTCTCTTTCTCTCTTTCTCTCTTTCTCTCTTTCTCTCTATCTCTCTTTCTCTCTTTCTCTCTTTCTCTCTTTCTCTCTTTCTCTCTTTCTCTCTTTCTCTCTTTTTCTCTTTCTCTCTTTCTCTCTTTCTCTCTTTCTCTCTTTATCTCTTTCTCTCTTTCTCTCTTTCTCTCTTTCTCTCTTTCGCTCTTTCTCTCTTTCTCTCTTTCTCTTTCTTTCTTTCTTTCTTTCTCTTCCTCTTCCTCATCCTCCTCTTCCTCTTCCTCTGTCTCTCTCTCTCTCTCTCTTTCTCTATTTCTCTATGTCTCTATGTCTCTCTTTCTCTTTCTCTTTCTCTTTCTCTTCCTACTCTTTCTCTTCCTTTCTCTTCCTCTTCCTCTTCCTCTCTCTCTTTCTCTCTTTCTCTCTTTCTCTCTTTCTCTCTTTCTTTCTTTCTCTCTTTCTCTCTTTCTCTCTTTCTCTCTTTCTCTCTTTCTCTCTTTCTCTCTTTCTCTCTTTCTCTCTTTCTCTCTCTTTCTCTTTCTCTTCCTCTTCCTCTCTCCCTCTTTTTCTTTCTCTTCCTCTTTCTCTGATTATTACACCTAATTTTTTTAAAAAAAAAACTGAGGTGGAAAAGGTAACGCAATCAACATGCTGAACCCGAGCCGCTACAAGTATTAGAATTACTACAAGTACTACAAATATCACACAGTTCATCGGCAAGAAAGAATTTTATTAGATTTCAATGGTCGCCAAGTATTAAAATCTTTACTTAAATGTAGGATCGTTTTTTCTAGGGAACGGTTTTTAAACATTCATCTTTAAAGAGGGTATAGCATTCGTTTGAGGGTGGCACACACACAAATCAGGACTGAAAATTAGGATAAACTAGAATATTCGAGAACCCTTACATTTTTTACATCCATTCCCTTTTGTGCTTTCCGGCAAATTTGCTGTGTGCCTGCTTTTTGACATCGCTGTCAATGGCGTGCCTTCCACGTCGAAGGCTCGGGCCCTGCCGCCCAGGATCACACTTATACTAGTATATATATATAAATTTCCTCCGCCTACGCCGGCGAAAAACATTGTAATATTAATATATCTGTCGTCTTGGTTACTTCCAAGTGGCATGGACCCGATACCCACCCTGACCTGAATATGGATCTCTCGTGCAACATAATCTAGGGACAGCTGGTCATTCACCATCGTCTGAGAAAACCAAAACTGACATGGGAAAATCAGCAAAATGCAACGAAAAACATACAAAATCATACATAAAATCCAGGTTCCCTTACTTGCGCCTGGAGTTGCCATCTCCTCATTTTATTCCGATCAGACATGTTAAGACTAAATCCTGTTTTTCCCAAGCACCAGCACTGCCGGACATCAACCGTGAGTGCCAGATCTCAATGGGCACTGCCGGACCTCGGCCAGACACCAGAGAGAACGTCAGATAGAGTGCCAGAAAGAATGTCAAAATACTGTAGATGCCAGATAGACTGCCAGAAAAATGTCAGAATTATATATGCCAGAAAGTATGCCAGATAGAATGTCAGATAGGATGTCAAAGTATATGCCACAAAGAATGTCTGTGTGTATGTAAGAATAAATATGCCATATATACTGCCAAATGGTATGTCAGAAACTATGTCAGAATAGTGTTTCAGGGTGGACCTGTTCATCCAAGATTGATTGGACAAAGCTGCAAGTCGATATGGGAAGTTAGATGGAGTCAGATTCCCACTCACATGACTCAAACAATTTCCGATTTCTGTATATCACCAGCTCTTGATAATCTCTTTGTTGACTTGTTTATTCATTATAAACTGTACTCTCTAATACTCTCTACATCTCTCGACATCTCTTAGTGTTTATGATTGCCTTCCAAAATCAGGAAAAGTGCAGGCAGTGGCCTCACTGAAAACCTCAGCTGACACGCCAAAATGGCGCAGGGCGAGTGCCCATCAGTGCCTATCCAACGAGCAACAAAGTTTGGTGATCTCAATATGTCAACCTCGCGTTCACAACATTTCATAACTTCAAGATTGCACTGATTGGATATGATTGGATTATGTTTGATGCAGTGGAAGCACTGAAGTGTTCTGCGAGGAGTGGTGTTCGCAAAATTCCTGCTTCGAACCCACTAACGCCCTTTCCCTTGCATGAGAACAGGCAAGGCATGGCAAGGCCAGTTCTATGGCAACACTTCACCGTCCTTATCCAAAAACGCAGACTCTCAAACGCAAAAGTAGACTTAACTAAGCTCAAAATTGTAGGAGATGTTCCAGATGTTGCAAAGATTTAAAGAGGTGATCGCATCATATTGCCTACAATACAAAATCAGCAAACGCTCCTCGCTACGACCGGATCGTGATCTAAAAGAATTGTCAAACTGTTCTACTCACTGAAGTTATCATGTGAAGATATAGACTGCTTGGATTGTGCAATTGAAATTAACTGAATGACTGACTTAACAAGATATTGGGAATTGGGTTCCCCACAAAGCCTACAGCTGCACAGACTGCTTGGTTTCGCTCACATTGTCCTGACACAAGCCACAACGAAATGATTCAGCACAGCGCATTGCATTGGAAGCAAGGAAGACCCATCCACGATGAACAAACACGTCAAACAGGCACATGGCTGCAATCTGCAACTGGTGTGCTAGCAATTCCGTCTTTTTTGCGCGGCAGCAAGTCCCACAGTCCCACATAGTCCCAGCGTACCACTCAAGTGCTGCTCAAACACCACATGGCTGGTGACTCTTCTCAGGCGGTTGGAGTGGTTGGAATCTCCTGGCCAATTCGCCCAGGACCGAAATGAGCACATAGTGAAAGCCAACTCCCACTGTATGAGCAAAGGCAAGCGCCCAAGTAATGGCCCAAAGAATAAGTATCACGAGGTTGACAGAATCATACCACGTCGGGCTCGTGATGCTTCTTGTCACTGTTTGCTGGATCCATGCACTGTATGGCCCACAGGCAAATGGAATGTGACAAACATACAGGCCAAAGCAGGCCTGGCCGACAGTCTTGAAGTGCCATGGCATGTAGAGCATTGCCAACCCAATAGCAAGCCCTGGCAGGATGAATAGCAAGGCTTCTCCTATCCACAAGGCAAGGTATGTTCCAAGCGAGGGATTGTTCATATACTGCCAGGTTACTGCATGGCTTAGTCCATACCTATCATCTCCAGTTTCCACGTAGGCAGCTTGGAAGCCATATTGATAGGAAAAAGGCTCAAGTCCCAACTTTGGTCTCCAGCCACTCAAGAAGGAAAGCACCACAAAGAAGGTCCAGCATGATAAGGAGAAGCTTAGGCGCAGTCTCCACCGTGCTGCATCTGTTGCAGTTGGATCCTCTGAGCCCATATATTTGGACATTCGATCCTCTGCCTTTGCCATCAGAGATCGCCCATTGGTTCTGACCCATGCTATAGCTCCTGCAGCTGTGGCATGGAACGACAGGAGGTAGCAAGCTGGCATGAAGAATGTCAGGAACTTCAAGCCTTTCGTGTCGAGCCCTCTGGAGTGATTTCTGATGTGCTCCCGCCAGGTTTCTGGCAGTTGAAGCCAGAAAAGGTCATCTGGCCACATACATGCGAACAAAAACATCAAGCGAGCCTGCCAAAGACCCGAGTTCAAACGACAAAAGCCTACCAGCAACAAGCGAGCCCAGAGGTACGTGTAGAGGAACCACTCCGCTCCGACCTGAAGCTCCTTGTGCTCTGAATGCCCTGAAGCCCAAAGAGTTAGCCCCATAGCTGTGATGAGTGCAGCACCATCACGATAGCCCAGCACTGGCTCACGCCGAGAATCATTAAAGCCCAGCAATAGGAACATGGCAATCATGTCCCGGCCATGGCAAAATGTGGACAGGAGGCAGAAAAAGGTGTATCCGAAATCCCCACCTTTGTGAATTCCAAAAGCCAAAATTCCGCTGAAATGCTGCATCATCACAAGGACCATCCAGAAGGCCTGTTGATTCTGTTGCCACCGATCTTCTTCTAGTTGAGACTTTGTCAAGTGCTGCAACATTCCCAATGAATCCACCACTGATTCTGTCTGATTTTCTTGCTTCACCAAGGCGTCTGTTGCAAGACTCTTCAAATTCACTAAGTCAAGCTTTCCATTCGCAAGGCGTGGCAGTTTGGGCAAGGATGCAAATAGGCTAGGCATCAGCTGTGGTGAAAGGACTGCTTGAGCTTCTTGGTTCAAGACCGCCAAGTCGAGCTTGTCAGGATCCTCGGGTTTTGGGCAAACGAAGGCCACAATCTGGAGGTGATCACTTCCCTGTGCTGCCACGGCAGCACATTCAGCACCGCCACAGTCCAACACCAGTTGCCGCAAGGTCAGTTCCAGCTCTTGCAACTCCACCCGACATCCCCGGATCTTGACCTGGCGATCAATGCGACCCAAGACCACCAGCTGTGAACGTTGCCATTTTCCCAGGTCTCCAGTGCGATACAACAAGCCCAGTTCAGGATGCTGGACAAAGTTCATGGCAGTGAGATCAGGTCGTTGCCAATAGCCTGAGGACATGACACCACCGAAGCAGATCTCGCCTTGGCCGCCTTCGCTACAGACATCCATAGAGCCTGGCTGTAGCAAATGAACGGACACGTGAGGTTGAGCTTGTCCTGCGGGAACCGCGGAAGTTGCCTGCCAATCGCTGCAGGTTCGAGGCACCGTGTAGGTGGTGTTCTCCTGACAGCATTTTCAAACTTGGTGGAGAAACAATGCTAAGAAATCCCGAGGTATATGCAAACATGGATGTCTTGCACCAAATCACTAGAGGCGTCTAAAGACATTTCATACATTTCCCGCGATGCTATTCAAACAGTGAAGTCACAACATGGCTGCCAAGCTAAAAGAGCTTCATTTTTTTCCAGTAGAAAGTTGCCGTTCTGAGGCTTTGAGACATTGGTGCGTTGGTGCGTTTCCTGTTTAACACATCTTACACAAGGCATTAGGATCTATAATGAGGGTGAGTTTCTGTCTCAGTCGAGCCATAGAAATTCATGATCTGGACTGCCGGAAGCTGCTTCATGAGGATACCCGCGAACTTCCATGAGAGAGGCTCACCCATGCAAACCACTCGTTGCAGACTGGACAAGCTTTCTCCAGAAGCCAAAATGAGCTCCAGGACTGTTGGCGTCGCAACCTTGTGCTTGTGTCTGACATCTGGCATAAAAGAAATGCTAGTCTTCAATACTTCGATGTCTGTCGCAGGAAAACGGAAGCAAAAAGCATGCAGAAAGCGGTGCGTTTGCTTTTAAAGAATTAAGGGAGTATCAGAATCAGTATGAATCACTTTCGTCGTCTTTTTGCAGGTTGAATATATACCGAAACTAGGCACTAGTCCCTCAACTGAGCTTGCAACCAGCAAAGAGACTGAATTGGAGGTGATGACTTCTGCAAGATGTATTGGATCGCTGGCCCTATGTGGTTCTGGGTGAATGATGAGTCCTCCTCTGCACAGTGCAGGGTAGACCTCATGGCGAAACACCGACCAAATGTTGGGTGTCTTCTGCAAGACCCTGCATGAAGAAGATACTTCACACTGCTGCGCGAAGAAGTGGGTGGAATGTGCCAGGCGGCTGTGTGTGTACATCACACCTTTTGGTGTACCAGTAGAGCCTGATGTGTAGATCACCTGTGCCAGCCCTTCAAGAGACTCCTCACACTGCGCAATCCTTTTGGAACCTTTGAAGCTGAGTTTCTGGGCGTGAACCAAGGGGATTTCCAGTTGCTTGAAGGGTGCATCATCATCACAAATGACCGCGCTGGGCTGCATCTGCTTCACCAAGTCTTGAAGCCTTTTCTTGGGGCTCTTCCGATCCAGAGGTGTCCAAGCCGACTGTGCAAGCCAAACTCCAAGCACTGCTGCAATCAGTTGTGGCCCAGGCTGTAAATACAGCGCCACAAGCTGCGTCCCATGGTCGGCCAGGTGAGGAGAAAGAAGTTCTGCACATTGAACTGCACAGTAGAGCAGTTGCTCACATGTGACTGTGCCCTGTGGACTCTTCAACGCAGGGCTGGTCGGCTCCTCTGCCTGATTTTTTTTCGATTCAAGCTGGTGTTCAAGCTTGTTGATTTGTTGATACTGAATTTTCACACTGCAGGAAAACAAATCTGACAACGTGTACTGAATTTTCATATCTGAGAAACTACCCGCCGCAGGAATTGCTGGAGAACACTTACTTTGGGGTACGACTCGCTGTTTGATGTATCGCACGGTTTTGTCTCTGGCAGTTCTTCCGGTTCTTCCTCCTTTCCGTGGGCAAGCCCTCTTTTCCGTCCTTGAAAACAAAATAAGACGAAGAGGGTGAAGAAACCCAGCAGGATGCCCATTGAAAGCGACACAAGGAGGGTCAAAAAGAGCTGCTGCACCTGCAGGGTAGCGACAATGTAGCTGCTCAACAAGTAACATCCTTTTAGAAACTGAGTTTCGTATCTTTCATCACATTCCATCTCTATAATGGGCTCCTATGAAAAAGTAGTCATTATGTGTGCAATTTCAATCAACCACTGCAAACTGGTGTCTGTGGTTGCCAAACGAACGCCAGGAATCAGTCTTCGCAAAAAACTACTGGGGCATGGGGCGATACTTTGGGGTGGAGACCCTGACGATCGAGACATATCGAGACTAAAACGAGCGCCTGTGGGTGGAGGATGTTTGGATGAATACAATTGTTGGGTTCATCATGTACGCATGGACGCAAACGCTGACGGACCATCTTGATTTTATCTTGATTTTTTGATATCGGATAAGGTGACGTAAAATGACTGCGGCGATCGATCTCAAACGTGATTTGCTCGGTTTCCCTGGGCACTGCAGTGGGCTCTGCTCTCTACAGCTCTAATTGCAATGTGCCACATAAGGCCCTGGTGTCCTGTGCTTCCTGAGTCTGATCATGAAGAGTGCAAAGAAAACATTCCAGCTCAATTGTTCTGAGACAAACCTCCTGAGGTCCTGATGGCCGACGATTCACCCGTGCGGACAGTCCTGTGCCGTTCTAGCATCTTTGGCATGGAATCAGCATCTTTCTTGGTCTGCGGAATTTCATCCTTGGAGAGAACTGCAAAGCTGCCAAGCAAATATGAGACTCGCTTTCTCCTTTTGTGCTTTGATTGGTAGTTCTGAGCATACCTCCCAAAGGCCATGTGTCAACATTCTACCCAAGTCAGGCTCTGAGACTCTGAGGTTCTGAGACCCGAACGTCAAAGGCACCCCGAAGGAAGCCCTTCAACGTTGTGAACTCCGGCCTTGGCTGACAAATACTGATAGCTGGTGGGTGGAACTAGATGGAACGAGTACATCTTCCACAAGCTGTCGGCAAACCGACAGAGCCAAAGAAATGTCCCATCCTTATCATTGATTTTTAGATGGGTAGATCAATATATCCATATATCCTTATCATTGCCTATCTAATTTTGCCAGTGAGATCGCCAAAATTTGACGAAATCCATCGAAATCCGTTGACTTCGTGCTGGGTCGAAAAAGACATTCTCCGCTGGGATGTGCCAAAGCTCATGGGCTGAGCGCTGCCAGGTATCACCTCAGAGGTATAGGTTGGCTTCAACCGTCACAGCCAAACCAGGCTGCAGCATGGGCTGAACTGCTGCTGAAGCTCTGCTGAGCCGACTCGTCTTCTGAATGTTTGTCTGTTCCCTATGTTCCCTCCTTCTTCACAGTTTCGCCAATCTTGTTTGCCAAAAACCTCTGGCATACCCTGCCCTCGCGAAGCTGATTCCGAAACTCGGAAACTGAGGCCCTTGGCACTTGGCACCGGCGGAGGAGCCTTAGAGGCTGGCGACTGTCTCACACAGCAGCCACGACTTCTCTGGTTCAAGCATGTTATGCAATTTATAATATGCATGCTAATTCATTGATGTCACTCTTAACTTTAAGGTTACAGGTAATGTACTATGTACATACTCCTTTTTCAATTGAAAATCAATTGAAAGTAAATTGAAATCTATCAAAATTAATTGATCCAATTTTATTGAGTACCTGGTACTTTTATTTTAAAAAAACATTAAAGAGACTCTGAGAATTGTTTGGGGGGAGGCCCTACACTAATTAATCAGGATCCAACATTAATTATCCTTGAATGGCCAACTGGAAATGGCTCTGCAAGACTCGGAAACTGCCCTTCAGGAGCTCCAAAATGCTTCGGAGTGGCCAACATGCATGCTCGGAATATGTTCCAAACGAGCTCTTTTCTGCATCGTATCTCAAGATTTCACAAATCGTCACTACATGTTGCAACCCATGGTTGACCAAAGCTCGAAGTTGGAAATCACATTAGGTTGGGTATGGAAATTATTCATGCTCATGAACGTGATAGAACAGGGAATTAAATCTCGGTGGTCAACCAGTCGCAGGCCCTTCGAAACAAAATTCTACTAAATGTCTAGATAGACAGGGGTATCATCTCGTCCGGACACGGTGCAAAGGCACTGAACTGTTTGATTGAAGGCTCGGCAATTGCATTCTCGATTCGGAGCCGGATCATCATACTGGCAGATACCATGAGACTTTTGGGAAGCAAATGAATCCGCTTTCTGCCAATGGCACTTGCACTGACCAAAGGAACCCATCCATTGGATGAGCTGCGTTCAATGGTGTAGTTTCTCACACGCTGTCCCATCACAATACCTTCCTGGATTTGAAAGCGATCCACCATCTGACCTTCGCGCAATGCAAAAAGATTGAAGACATAGCCCTTTCCAGATGCAACTGCCAAAGGAGAAGCGTAGCATTGCTGCACCCACTGGCCCAGCTGCCTGTAGACTTTGGCATGACTCTCTTCCACCAAACCATCACGGTCGATCGAGAAGGCAAGTTCCATGACCATGCCACGACCAACGATGTCATGATAAATGGGAATCATCTCTGCCAGACTACGCACATGCAGCGATGGCTCCCAAAACCACACGTGCTCCCGGAACAGCTGTGGATCACAGTACTTGGGCACCCATTGGGTGCCATTAGCTTGCCTAAAGTATCCGTGTCCTGTAGGATTGCGACCGCTGCATAAATATTGATTTAGAATGATTTAGAATCTAGTTTTGAATCTATAATGTAGACAAACAACAGGCATGCTGCCAAAACAAGTGAAAATCAAAGCCATTGCCACAGATGCATTCTGTTTAAGTGAACCAATTCAAGAAATATTTTGAGAGTTTCACTACCAACATGGTTTCACCAGAGCCTGTGCTCCAAATATCGCCAGAACCAACATCGCGAGATGGGTAACCAGATTCTGTGCCGCACCAATCAATGGGATTCAAAGGTGTGCCCGCAGCCTGAGGTTGCAACTGGTCCATCAGTGGGCCCAAACCCCCAAGGCCACTGTCCACCCAGATGCGCGTGATGTTTCCATATTGAGTCCATAGTTCGGTCACTTGCTGCTTTGCCATATGCAAATATTCCTCTTCGGAGATATTCTGTTGGCCGGGTAAGACACTGCTGAGACAGGAGTGCTTTCCATTGAAGTCATGGCAAAGGTAGAAATTCTTCATGATGGAGTAGTAGAAGCCATGGCCAACCCCAGCATCTTGAGCTGAATCAACAAACTTTCTCAGCACGTCATACTGAATACTTGCGCCTGGAATTCCAACCGAATAATTGTACGGCCTGCCATCCAAAAATTTGGCCTTGCTGGGCCACAAGGTAAAGCCACAGCCATGCTTGGCTGTGAGCACAGCGATGTTTGCACCGAGACCTGTGATGCTCTCCATCCACTGCGTGGTGTTCAACTTCTTCGGGTAAAAAGTGGCAGGATCGCGTGTCTTGCCAGTTGCATAGGGAGCAAGTGTATTCCAATTGCTGCTGTCACAGCCGGTATTATGAGCAAAGGTTTCTATGTTGAAATGAATCAAAGCCACAAAATCCGTCGATTGGTATCGAAGCTGGGAAGCAGAAGGAACCGTGATCAAAGCAGCATGACATGTTGCAAAGCCAGCAAACACCAAAGGAAGGGATGACAACACCATGCTGTCCCCCTCCACTTCCTGGTGGAGAGCCGGAAGTTAAAGCTACAATGAAAACTTGAGCCGAATCATCCACCTCAAAAAATCAAGATGCAACAGCCATACCCTTGCAACCAATCCCACACTCCACAAACAGACTGGAAACAATTGCCACTATTACAACTACACAACCAACAGGACACTCCCTGAATGAAATGTCAGGAAGTATTGATGCAATGTACTCAAGCTGCTCTACTTTCTGCTTTCCAAGCTGCAGTTGAAGTCACATTTAGCAGAGGTGATGTTTGTGATCTTCTCCAAGACTGGCACCTCTCATGGCGCCAAAAGTACAAATGGCTCGTGCTGCTGAAATAGTCGATAGGATAGGAAGGTGAAGAAAGGAACTTCAAACATTTGATTTGCTCAAACTCAGACAGTCTTCCAGTCCACGCCAGAGCCTGTGCCAAGATATGATGCAAACGCCCGCGCTTAGTCCCAAGTTCAACACCTAAAATCACCATCTGCAGAACAAATTTCCAAATTCTTCATACCAAAAAGAAGTCCAACTCAATCTCCATTGTTCATGAAGAGCCAGTTGCAAGCAAACAGAATCTGCGTGATATGTCTTTGGCTCGTATTAGGCATGTGGAAGGCATCTGGTACAAACAAGATGGCATGCATATCTGCGTACACTCAATCTTGAGCCTAGATCACTCAGGCAAGAAAAAACATGGCTAAGATTGGCTAACCATTGCACATCTTTTGCAACTACATCAACTACAGGAGAAACTCCCTCAATAGTCTTGTTCAATTCTTAAGATACCTGCAATCAACAGTTCGTCTGGATGCAGCTGCGGAAGATAATATGACTCATCATCAAATGATATTTACCTGGACTTTCCAATGACCCTTTTTTCAGATGCTTGTCAAAAAAACTTCCGACAGGGTGCAGCGAAATTGTTCACCATCTTGAATATATTGCATCGTTTTCAGAGCTTCAGTGCTGACAATGAACCTGAAGGGTCTTTGGAGAGTCACACAGTAATTAGATAATTAGCTGTTGTGGTAGCTTGTGATGTGCCTGTAGTTGGTGGCGACTGGTGAGCAGCGGCAGCGTGCAGAAGGGGTTTGTCATGGATTGCCATTTACATCCCAATTTGTCAAGTGCATTTTGGTTGGCGTACGTCAGTTGAAACCCGAAATCTTGTGAAACTTTGTGCCGATCGCTTTTCCCTGAAATATTGGGGCATTGAAGGGGAGCGTCCAAGCATCCAAAAAGCATCTTTTCACGTTCAAAGCAGACGTGTCCGGGCATTAATAATGCTGTGCCTTTTCCCAAAAACATGTTCGGCGTTTTTCGGTAGATGTGATTTGATGGTGATTTTTCATGGTGATTTCATGGTGATGTTTTCATTGTGTTTTTTCATGGTGATTTTTCATGGTGTTTTTTCATGGTGATTTCATGGTGATTTTTCATGGTGATTATTCATGGTGATTTCATGGTGATTTTTCATGGTGATTTTTCATGGTGATTTTTCATGGTGATTTTTCATGGTGATTTTTCATGGTGATTTCATGGTAATTTTTCATTGTGATTTGATGGTGATTTTTCATTGTGATTTCATGGTGATTTTTCATGGTGATTTCATGGTGATTTTTCATGGTGATTATTCATGGTGATTTTTCATGGTGATTATTCATGGTGATTTTTCATGGTGATTTTTCATGGTGATTTTTCATGGTGATTTGATGGTGATTTTTCATTGTGATTTCATGGTAGTTTCTCATGGTGATTTGATGGTGATTTTTCATTGTGATTTCATGGTGATTTGCTTAATCATTGCAAATGGTACGAAACGTGGCTATAGTTTTGAGCCCCCAGGACCTCTTCTGTTCAACGCACCAGTGGTACCAATGTGTTTGCATCCATTGATATGATTGCGTCTATTGAGCAGGGTCACCAGGCAAGGCATTAATAGCGCGGTTGGAATCTCTTGGCGCCTTTTTCAAGTGCCTGCGCTTTTTTCTATTTCAAAAAGGCACAAACATGAAGTCCGAAAAGAAAGACAATTAGAAATGGTGCAGGTAGACTCCAGGTAGATTAGATTCTGATTCATTTCCACCACTGCGGCCTCTTTTCCTCTTCATTCCGTTGCAAGAGATTGACGGCTGGCAGGATATGATCCTGGCAACAACATTCAACGATGCAAAAGGAAAAACCTCCGCACTTGGATTCTTGACCCAGAGACTCTGACAAAGGAAATAAAGACTTGATATACACCTGATTTGTGTTCCCAATGGCATTAACTTCTTTGCATGACTCCTTTTGTATCTTCTCCAAGTCTTCCATGCAGAGGTCAGCTGTATGTTTGAAGTCCCGAAGCGCATGACTTGACACCGATCGGTGCCCCGATGACCGGAGCCGCCTTGCTCTGCCAAGGTGGGTCGGCAAACCCAGAGCACCAGGGTGATGGTCACCACGATGCCCAAAAAACTGAGCAAGGCCTCGTTGTGGATGGATCTGGATGGGGATCCCATGTGATCCACTGGAGGGTCTCAGGTCCCAAATGGCGTCCCTTAAATGGCAGAGTTCCGAGTTCCTCCATTTTTCTCCTGTGTGATGAAGGACTGAAGGCACAGTAGGTTGTGTTAGATAGTTACCCTCTGGTAATTTAACGTAGCTATTGAAAATGACCATTAATAGTGGATTTCCCATTAAAAATGGTGATTTTCAAATATTTTCAATAGCTATGTTAAATTACCAGAGGGTAGATACAAAAACAGGGCCTGTCTGATCTTGTTTTGCACTGGAGTCGCAGTTTGGGATGTCTGAGGATAGCTGGGCAGGTGCTACAGCGACAATCCTGCCATATGCAGCCATGGGTCAGAGTACCGCAGTTTGCTCCTGCAGACTCAACCCAAAGAGATTTGTACAACAATATATTATATATATTATATTATATATATATTATATATGTTATATATATTATATATAATATATATATGTTTTGATGGGTCAAACGAAAAGAATGATCAAGAATGATCCAAAACCTTGGAACATCTTGGAACCAAGTACAGAAAAACTAAGTGCTGTGACTGCTAGTAACGCTAGTATCCTCCAAAGTTCAGGGTTGCCACCATTGGGCAAGCATTGTCCCGGTAGATGGCTCCAAAGACCAGAGGCTAAGCAATGAAGCTCCTTGGTTTACATCTCCGCGCCACCGCTTCCGCAAAATATAAAGGTGAACTTCAAAGCTCTTTTCACCGTGAAATTCCTGCGTCTTTCTCAAGTCGCGGAGAAACCTTTTGTATTTGACAGTGAATGCCTGTAGGATGCAAATGACATCAAATCACAGCGAAGTGCAACAACCTTCATGTGCAGTAGCTTTCGTCTTTCTGGTTTGTTGAAGAGCATGCTTGCCACTTAAGTTTATTAAGTTTATTTATAGAGTCCGCAAGTTCATCAAAGAAGTAAGGGTTCTGGCAAACCTTCGATGTGTCTCAGTTTTATCTGCTCAGCACATCCTATCCAGACAATCTATAATATTCATATTGCAACGAAGATTCTGAAGCTCCTTCGACATTGAAACCTCGTACCGACAGGACAACAAGAGGCCAACATGACTCGGATGTCAAGGCGGCAAAGGATATGAGAGAGCATTGCCGCTCTTGGAAACAGGATGCAAAAACATGCCAAACAAACTATGATGAAGGTCAACCAATTTCGTCAAAGCACTGTAGTTTCTTCAGTCTCGCACCCTTTGAACAATCACCCCACCCCAATTAATTTCTCCCAATTCGATCAGCCAGACTTGATCCAAGCGTCCATCAGCACATTCTAAGCGCATCGTGCTGTTGAAGCGAACGGCTCCCAGCCATGTGCCCCAGGTATCACTCAAAGAGCTGCAGCTCACCACATCGCAGCCACCAAAGTGTCCTGTGGCCTGGGGCCACCCTCTGGTGTCATCAACCGTGGGAAATCCCAAAGAAATGCTCGTTTTCACGGGGAAAATTAATGAAAATCAATGAAAATCATCTATAAATGTCGAATTCTCCACCATCTTTGATTACCGGAGGGTACTCAACTGATTTTCGGTGGCTTGCAGCTTCCAATATCTTCCAATGGGACCATCTTGGTGCCAGGCACTCCATGCGTTCCAACCAACGCATTTCACGGTCCAAGTCCCTTCTGATTCATTCAGAGGACGAAAGCCAAGGGCGCAACTGACCTCAACACAGTGAGACACGGTTCGTATGTGCTTTGATGTTGCAATCATGGAACTTCTTGTTGATGTGCCCGTGATTCCGAATATTTGTAACATACCAATCATACCACACATCAAATAATAATCATGTAACAAACATTAATTAACTGCTTATCAGCCTTGTTTCTATGTCCTTTCCGTGCGGTGTCTCCAAGCCTCCAGGACCGATCCGGACTTGAATGGCCCTCGCAAGTCATTCTGAAGGGTTCGAACCTCGGCAGCCGCAACTCCAACATGTCAGCCATGGCGCCATGGCTATGGCCTTCTGGGGGTGGCCAGGGGTTATTGATGGCTATTACCATGATAGGAACTTCCATAACTTGGGATATAATATCACATAAATAAATATAACATATTATGTATTATTATATAACTATGGTTTTACAACCCACGTATTGGTGGAACTGCCCCCCAACTATGGTGCAGGAAATGTTTTATTGGAGCATGTCCACCTGTCCATGATGAATCCGGAAACAGTGTGTCCCGCATCCGTGGCTCCGAACACCCTCAGGTAAATGGTGACACAGTATATCGTGTTCATCATCTGGCATCGCTGTTGGGGCCAGCATCGACTCTACTGAGTAAACTGTTCAAGTCGAATTTTGATCTCAGAGTTCTGTACGAAATTGCATGGCATTTTCAAGTTCGATGCAAATGTTCAAGTCTGATCAATTATGCATGCCCCTTTTCCGTGCTGGATATAGATAGAGGATGATAAAGGTTTTAGTGTTTGGAGCGTCAGGCGTTCAGAATGAGGTGTTTGTCATGATTTTCTGTACTGAGCAGCAACAAATGATGTAGCGGGGACGGGGAAGGAAGGAAAGACAAAGGAGGTGGTGGCGGATTGAAAAGTAAAACAAGTTGTGTGTGAAGAGTTGTGTGTGACAAAGTTGTATGCGAAAGATGGTGTGTTACAAAGAAAGACGTGTGACAGTTGTGTGTGAAAGAGAGGTTGTGACAAAGTTGTGTGTGAAAGATGCGCAAAGAAAGCTCAAAGTACTGTCTTGAGACCAACAAGACCCAGCCCCACCCTTTTGCACGAAGCAAATGAAAGACATCACTGTGCGATGCAATCGACTCTATCGCAACCTCAACACGCGAATGTCAGAAGCATTGCCAAGTCCCCAATGTCACCAAAAGTCTGAACATGACAATAGAAATGAAGCGTCGCACGTTGCATCAACCTATGCTCTTTTAACAACATTGTTACAGTTTCATCTCCAAACAGAAAAGACTTGACAACACTGCACGGCCGAAGCTACCGCGCACTCCTTTCTGGCGAAAATATTTTTTCACGGCAACAAATGGTTCTTCACACATTGCGTCAAACCATTTGATGCACCATACTCAAAGGCATGCACAATCACATTTCAAACAGAAACATATCTTGCCCTCAAGGAATCTCAGTGAAGGTCATGAGAACAGCGTCGCTTGCATTGCGTGTGACATCCAGCAGGTGCCTGGCAGCAATGCGAGCGATATGCAAAGAAAGTGATCTACCAAAACATCGACAAAACATCGAACAAGTCTGACAGCAAAGAAAGTGGTCTATCAAAAACTTAAGCGCCTGGCTTGCACGTTGCCCGTGGGCTCCAGCATCTTGGGCCAGCGCCTGACAGCAAAGAAAAACCATCAAAAACCGACAGCTAGTGAAGTCTTGACAAACACACTGCGCAAAACCAGCAATGAGCAAAGCCATGCCTGCCCTACAGCCACAGGCGCGACGATCACGAAGGATGAGAATAGTACCTGGCCGGAAACGTGCAAAACATGCCAGCATCGCTTCTGGACCGTTTTGCTTAAACATGCACAAGGCCGCAAGGCCTCTTCCCACGTTGGGCCAAAGCGAAACATGCCAAAACATGCCAGCATCGCTTCTAGACCGTTTTGAACCGAGTGACTGAAGCTACTCTTTGTTTCTGCTGCGGTGTTGTGTTGCCGATCTGTCATAGACAATAAATATTACGTGTAGCAGTGTTTGACACTGTTTCGACTTCAGCGCTGAGCATGAGCCACGAAATTCACAGTCTGCAAGTCTGTCAACACTATGAGTGACCAAGCCGCATTTCGTCGCAAGAGCATGCAAGCACATCAACACTGAACCAAGTGTGTGTGTGTGTGAAAGATTGGTGTGTGACAAAGTGAGACCGCCCCGATAGGGTAGGGGTCCCCCCCTTCTTCAAGGGGGGGGGTGGCTTCTTCAAGGGAGAGCTTCTTTGAAGGGAAGTCTTCAGTGCGGGGCAGCCCCCCCAAGAAGAAGAAGAAGAAGGGGGGAAGGGGGCTTCTTGAAGGAGGGGGGGGGCTTCTTCTTGAAGGGGGGGGGCTTCTTCTTTCCTCTCTCTCTCTCTCTCTACTTCTTTCTGTGTCCATCTCCTCCTGTCCAGGAACATGGAATGCTTTGCGGGGGGAGGCGCTGCGCCCTTGTTTTTGTTTCGACCTAATACCTACATAGGTACATGCATGAGTATTGAGCACATTTATATGCGCCCCTCAAGGCTCAAGAGGTATATAGAGTAACCCTGTAGACAAGCACGGACCGGCAACAGGCTGAGTAAAACAAGTGCTGTCATTGGGGAAGACGCCTTAGCTGATCTTGAAGTAGACGCTAGGGCCCCTCTTCAAGTGGTAGCGGAGCTGTGATCCCTCATTGAGGGTGAGCTCCAGGTAGAGCCCAAGCAATGGCAAGCCATGGCTATGATGATGATGACTTCGACATTGTCGATGCAAATGAATGGAACCAATATGACTCTTATGCAATGAGAAGAGCACCCCAGCAGACACAGATTCATATGACGCAACAAATGACCACAAAGGTAGCTCCAGCATATGATGGGAGAACCAGCTTCTTTGCTTTTGAGGATGCAATCGATGACTGGTGTGACATTACGGAGTTAGAACCAGAGAAACGTGGTCCAGCCTTGCGCAATCGACTGGAAGGAGATGCTCAACAATACAAGAGACTATTGGATAGAGAGATGCTCAGGGATCCCCAAGAAGGAGTGAATTATTTCAAAAGATTTCTACGACCTCATTTCATCAAAGGTGCCCAGAACGTGTTCTTATACCGTTTCATGCAGTTCATGAAGTTCAACAGAGGAACCATGGATCTTCAGAAGTGGATGACTAGATTTCAACTCACTGGCAATAGACTTATTGAGTCTTGGATGGATTTACTTCCAGAAGCAACAGTGACTAGTCCTGAAGCAATCCTGTTTGTGACACAAAAACGACAAGAACATGATCGAGATCAACAAGAAAGAGCTGATGTAGCAGCAGCCTCAGGAGCAGCCCCTCATGTACCTGTTCCTTGGTCAGATGAACTGGCACTAGTGGCATTCAGACAGTACAATGAGCAGCGTAGACAAGTACAAAGACAAGCATTCCCACTGGGTGAAAATTTGCTAGCATTGATTTTTGTAAGTCTAGCTGACCTGAGTCAAGATCAGAGAAATACACTCACAAGTATCATGACACATCGTGGACGAACCCTCGATCAATACAACATTCAAGAACTACGTGACCTGTTTTTGGAAATGTTTTGCACTACCAAAACAGCAGTTGACAATCCATTGATGCAACCCTCTGGCATGGCACAGAGAAGATCTTTCCTCGTACTGGATGAAGGTGAATTAGAAGGAACCGACGGCTATTGGGCCGAAGATGAAGAAGACGGCGCAGAAGGATTCCTGGATGCTTTAGAAGATGTTTTCTGGGTTTATGATGACGCCAACTTCACATGGTATCAGAGAAGGTTCCAAGGCAAATACATCAGACGAGGCAAAGGTAAAGGAAAGAGAAAAGGAAAAGGAAAAGGCAGAGGAGGACGAAGGTTCTTCAGATCAAGAAAAGGAAAAGGCCGAGGTAAAGGAAGAAGAAAAGGCCGTGCTCACATGGTGAGTGAAGAAGGTTATGAAGAAGAATGGCAAGAGGATGAATGGAATGAAAACTATGACGGCTATTGGGCCGATGATCAAACCTGGAATGAAGGCTATTGGGCCTATGATGATTCATACTACATGGATGAGTATGGATACTTCCAGAGAAAAGGAAAAGGAAAAGGAAAGAAAGGCAAGAAAGGCAAGGATGATGATGGCAAAGGAGGAAAGCCAGGAGATGGAAAAGGCAAGTCGAACTATGTTCAACCTCAGACCACATCAGTTCCTGCCATACAGAATCAACAAACTCAACAAGCTCATTATTCTTCTGCTGCATCAAGTTCTGGTCATGGTTTCTTTGCATTTGGAAGAACTGACTCATTACGTGTTGATGTTGCAGAGACAGAGCCAGCACGTGTTGATGTTTTGACATCCACGTATGAACAACAAGAAGTACAACGACGCACTCGTCGTGGAGGACAGAACCAACGTGATGCAACAGCACATCAAAACAGGAAGGAGATGAAAAGATTCCCTGTTCTGGTTGGAGAAGTTGATGCACTTCGACAAGGTGTACAACGACGTCCAGCTCGTGTGCCCAGGCAAGTTGGTCTTCAAGAAGGTGAGGCTTCATGGAAGCCATTGGCAAAAGGCACATCATTGTTTTCATATGGATGCTCTACAGAGATAGAGGAACCATCACAGCAGAGTGCTTTTTCATTTCATACTGTACAAACTGATCTGGCATGTGAGAATGGACTAGCTTTTCACACAGAGAATTCTGCACCACCAACTGTGTGTATTCTAGATCTTGGATGCACAAGAGCTATGGGCTCTCGACGAGCAGTTGAAGCATTTTGCAGATATGTTGACTCACATCCCAACAGTGGACCCTGGTATGAAATTCAGCCAACAAGTTCAAGATTCTTCTTTGCAAATTCACAACAATCAAAATGTACTGAGAAGCTCGTGATATTCATGTATGATCATGGATGGAACACTCAGTTTACAGAATTCGACATTGTCGAAGAAGGTGATGTCCCATTGTTGATGTCACTTCCACAGATGAGAAACCTTGGATTTCAATTCGAACTTACTCCAGAGAAGGCTTATTTGTCCTGTGCACGTATTGGCATGAGAAAAATGGTTTTGAGAACAGCCATCAGTACTCATCTCATTCTCGACCTACAAGATGTAGCATGGTACATGAGCCAAGTTCATTTCAAGACTCCTCAAGTCAAGAGTTTCTTTTCACAACACGATCACTATGAGTACAGCCAGATGGCTGTCAAACAAGATGTTCATGAAGAAGAAGCTTTGGTGACTGGTGACTATTGGCAAGTGGATCCACTACGTCGTGAACTCATCAGGCACCACAAGGACAAGAGGATGAACTTGCATGAGATGACACGATCAGAGAAAACTCCAATTCCAAAAGATCAACTTCTAGATGAGAGAGAGAGACACATGGAATTCCAGAAGAGCAAGAAGAAGGTTCTTCACAAGGACAACTGGCGCACAGAAAGGAAGAGGTTTTCTGAACAGAGTGAAGAGTTCTGGAAGGGCAAGACCATCTACAAGATCAAGGAGGACTACGTGATCCCAGATGACATTGTCAGAAGTGACATTGATCGTGCAAAGCCCTTTCGTGGAAACATTGATGATCTTTTTCACCCTGAGTCAGCCTCTTCAATGCCATCAGGTGTACAGAAGAAGAAGCCAAGCTCCTTAAAGAAGGAGGAAGGCAAACCGATTTCGAATGGACCAGGCTCGAAAAAGATTGAGGTAGGTCCACCTGCAGCCAAAAGACACGTAGGTAAGCAGAAACCTCAGGTTGTCGATGACTCTCAATCAGGTTCATCAAGAAAGAAGGTTGTTGTCTCCTATCCCAAGCTTGATGAGGAAGATGAACTGGACATAAGAGCTAGGGAGTTAGGTTTGGACAAAATTGATTCAGATGAACCTCAAGTCATTGAACCAAAACATTCTGCACCTGCGCGCAACCGTGGTAAGCAAGATTCAGAAAGTCAAGTTGAGAAACTAGGTAGTGATGCTCTTGAGCCTAGGCGAGTTTCAATTCCACTGCCTGGTAGTGAAGTGCAAGCCATGACACCAGCATACAGAAAGATGCTCAGGAAACTGGAGGATAGTGTGGAACTTTACAAACTTCACATTAAACACTATCACATGTCTCCTACTCAATTCAGACGAAGGACTTCCATGTTAGGACTTCCTGACTCTGTCTATGAGAAGTATGATGAAATGTACAACAAGTGTCGTGTGTGTAGTACTTCAATTGCACCACCGCCGCGAGCCAGAATTTCAGGCATACGATCCACCAACTTTGGAGATGTTATCTTTGTTGATCATGCTGAAATTCAGTTGAGGAAGAACAAGTACATGGTGTTGCTTGTTCTTGATGGTGCAACCAACTTACTTTGGGCTACGGCACAAAACTCACTGAACAACAAGGAGACCATTCAGGCTCTAAGGTTGTGGACTGATGAACATAATTGTATGCCGAAAGCCATCGTAGGTGATGAAGCATTCTTCCAAGAAGACTTTCTGACTTATTACCGAACTCATGGTATCAAGGAATGTCCCTGTGGTTCAAGAACCCCATGGCCTAACAGAGCTGAATCAGCTGTCAGACTTTTCAAACGACAATGGCAAATCATGTCCAAGAACCTTGAAGATGATAGGTTCAAAGGAATCACCATCAGAGAAGCTGTGAAGCGTACTGTTTGGGCCAGAAACACTCAACTCACTGTTAGTGGTTATTCTCCTTTGGAAATTGCCACTGGTAGAAGACCACCAGATCTTCTGGATATTGAGACTTCTGATCCTGCTCAACTTAGTGTTGATCCTTTACCTGAAGACAAAACACAACTCGAGTTGCAAAGGTTAGCACTGAGGGCACATCAGGAAGCCAGACAAGCTGCTGACCTCAGACATGACATGGCCAAACGAACAATGCCATCAGATGGAC